TGGCCCAAAGCCAGCTTTCATGTTCTAAGGCAAGATTAGAACTCGCCATCTCCCGGGGATTGGCCCAAAATCATCCAACCAAATTTCATGCCTAAGGCAGGACTAGAACTCACCATCTCCTGGTGATTGGCCCAAAGTCATCCAGCTGTCTTTCCTGCCTAAGGTGGGACTAGAACTCACCGTCTCCTGGCGATTAGCCGAAAAGTCACCCCCACACCAACTTTCACACCTAAGGTGGGATTAGAACTTAGAGTCTCCAGGCCAGCACCTTAACCACTAGACCTAATTCTGCCAGGTAAGTTTGCCACGGAACCTTGTTATTCCATATTTTATTTTATTTTATTTTTTTGTCCCCCTCCTTCAGGTCAACCAGGATCTCAGTCGGCAACTGCTGCAGGACGGCTACCGCCTGGATGAAATCCCCGACGACGAGGATCTCGACCTGATCCCACCCAAGCCCATTTCTTCCTCACCGTGTTCCTGTTGCTTCGGCGACTCTGCCTCCTGCTCCATCCAATAGGAAGACGCCCCGGAGGGCTGCAACTGACACGGGTCAAGAATTCAGCACTTTTTCTTTTCCCAGTTCCTCTCTTTTTTTGGGGGACCCCTGCTGAGCCCAGCTTTGAATTTTAGGTCAAATCAGCAGGATTGGCGGGGTGAGGTGGGCAGCCCTGGAGATCCGGCCCCTGGAAGGGCAAGGCCGGGCAACTGCTGGCACCTTCCTCGCTGCTCCAAGCGTCTTCTGGATGGTGCAACGTAGAAGTGTGTTCACCGCTAAGTGTTCGGGAGCCTGGTGGATGCCCTGTGCAAAGAGAGGCTGCCTTTTTTTTCCGGACGGGTTCGGCACTCCTGAGGACTAATCAGGAGGCGAGGGTTTCTTCCCTATAAAAGGCAAACAGAAAACCTGTGTGCGTGCATGTGTGCGTGTAAAAAAAGTGAACCATAGCCATTCCAATGACTAGGTTTACAATACATTGGGGTGGCAGAGGTCAATATACGAAGGGAAAAACAACAACTATGCCGCCTAGAGACAGAGGAAAGAGGTTGTTTTTCCTGGCGAGAGAGAAGATCTTGAGATATTTCTGCAGGGCCTCCTTAGAATGGAGGTCTGGTCTTGCACGAGAGAGCAGCTTGCACCGCGCTTCTTGAGGGCCTTTTCTTGGGTCTCCAGCCAGCCTGTTGGTGGCTTTAGTTACTAGGTAGTAAAATTTATTTATTTGGTAGATGGGATTTTTTGGGGGGGTTGCTTTGGACCCCTTTCCTTTCTGGGGAAGTTTAAAGGAATAAGAGGGGAAGGTAAGTGAGGAGGACAAGGTTGAATCAGCTCATCAGCTTTGGAGGTCACATATAGCTCTCATGTTATCAACCCCTCCATTACTTTTTAACGTTCTCTAAACCTGGTGGCCTTCAAATGGACGAAGGTGCTGCTTAGAAACAGCCTCCGAAGACCACCAAGGGACCATTGTCTACGTTTAATTAACCCACGGAAAAGTGCACCTGCATGCTCTCAATCCATTTCACCTCGACCTCCTTGTAGGAAAGGACGAGTTTTAGGCAGCTTGCACAGACTCTGTAGGTGTGTTGACTTGTGCGCCAAGCCGTTCCGGGGAAGAAGTCAAGATCTGGTCTTCCTAGATCACCAGCACTGACTGACCCAGAACAGAAACGGTCTGTCCTTGACCACTTTAATTTAAATCCATTGTTCTCAAGAAACATGGCTCAATTAACGTCTTAAGAGATACGTTGATGGGACAGCCTTGAACGTCCACCATCTCTAGGGACAAAGTGTGGTGGGATTTCTGGATGTTGGATAGGATGTTTTGGATCTTGGATGGGACACGTTGTACTCTCTTGAGGGTGTAGTGGAGTTCATCAGCATTGAAATTGTCCTTCTTTGCTTCTTTGGTTGTGGGGACTCAATGTCATCTGCCAAGTTTGATCGTAGAAGATCTGGAGAATTCCTCGAAGTGCATCCCTGCAATTTGAGAAGGATGTCCCAGTGTTGACATCCTAAACATCTCACTCCTCATCTCAACCTCCCCTCCCCTTCAAAATAAGTCCATTTCTTCCTCACATGCACAACTTGCTGTTGAGGCTGATGTGACTCTCTTAAAACGGAATGGGATTAACTTGCCGTGGCCAACTCAGCAACTCCATTTAAATAATTTAAATAATCATTTTAATTTCCGTCATTCCCATTTCATTTGGTCCTTCCTTTCTTTAATGATTCTGTCCACCTTTTTTTTTTTTTTTTTGGATGTATTAATGTAACTTGTCACACGACATGTCGGCTGCGGTGAGTTATCGTAGGCCCTTCTCAAAGCCAATGTCATTGGTTGACCTGTTCCAGGGTGAAACAGATTCCACTGGAAATTGTGGATTACAAAGCTAAAGATGTCCAGTAGATGGCAGCCAAAACACAGTATTACCGCTGCCGCCTTCTAGTGATCTGGATTATTTTTCAATCCCAAATCTGATTTCTCCAGCCATTTTTTAACCAAACTTATCCAACATCAGTTACTAGCAGGCACGCTGATTTGGAAGGGTTTTTTTTTTTTTGCCCTGCTGGGAAACCTCACCGGCAAGTTAATTTTTTAAAAAGTGACCTTGTGTGTACAAATCTTTGAAGAATTGGCTTGCTAGAGCTATAAAATCAGCATTTCCTACCCCTTTCTCTCCATCTGTGCCGGATTACAATTGCTTGAAGTTCAGACTTAGAAGTCTTAATCATCGAGGGGAAGGCAAATCCTAGGTTGGAGGAAGTTGTACCGATAGTGGTGAATATTATAGTATAGTGGCGAAAGTTGTACTAAGCTAAACCAATCTTTTTGGTTTCGCTATTATTATTTTTGTAAAGCTGCTGTTCCTTTCCATTTATCAGGGGGAAAAAAGGGCTGTTTTTGTTGGCACAATCCTGGACAATGTTTTTGTCCAGGACAGAAACTACAATGTTCACAACGGAGCCCATGTTACTTATGCACTGCTCATTCAATGAGCCTTAATGACATGTATTTAAGGCTTAGATGAGACCTTAAAGATCATCTTGTCCAGAGTTCTCCAAATTTGGAAACTCTTTAAGTCTTGTGAAGACTTCCAAAGAGTTGAAGTCCAGAAGTCTTAAAAGTAAAATATATGTAATTTTGCAAAGCAAGAATTAAGATAGTAGGCATTATACAAACACATTTTTGCCCAGCTCTCTTCTGCAAAGCTGAGCGAACGGATGATTCTACAAGCATTTTGGGGGCAGACTCCATTAAATCTACCCCGTAGACTTTATTTTTTAAAGCTGCCTTAAAGCACTAAAATGCATTACATGAAGTTTTTCTTTTTTTGTTAAAAAAAAAAAAACTGAACAGCACAAGACAATCTTATGGGAAATTTAATATTATTGTATACTCGGTTCATTGTGTCTTTTTTTTTTTGTACAGTCTAACCAAGGAAAGCGTCTTATCCAATAAAGTACCTTCTACGCTACACCCTTTGTCCCTTTGTTTATCTGAAGCTGATGTTCTCATCTTGGTAAAAATGCCAACTGGACCCTCTAGGTCAAATGTATTCAACCATAAACCGGGTTTGTATAGCATGCTATTTAAAAAAACAACAACCCAGGAATATAGCATGTCACACCTGGGTAAACCAAGTATTATTTATTTTTATTTATTTGATTTTTATTCTGCCTATATTGTTTTTATTCCTTCCTTCCTATTTTCCCCACAACAACCCTGTGAGGTGGGTTGGGCTAAGAGTGAGTGGTTCAAAGTCACCCAGCTGGCTTTCATGCCTATGGCAGGACTAGAACTCACAGCCGCCTGGTGCCTCTAGGCCTCTAACCTCTAGGCCAAACATCATGGGTTAATGTGACGGCTGGATTGGCACAATATGCAAGACTAGGCTCAAGATGTACAGTGCGTTAATCAAAAGATCTAGTTAGGATGCTTGTCAGGGTCCAGTTTGAGTGCCAGGGTCAGTGTGTGTGTGTGTGTGACAGAGAGAAAGAGAGAGAGAGTAAGAAAGAAAAAGAAAGAGATAATACAGGATCAACATCTTGTCCAGTGAAAACATTTCAGGTAAACCCAAAAGACGTTCCCCTCCCCGCCCCCAAAGAGGCAACTGGACCTTCTGGTTTTTCTTTGAAGATGTTTCACTTCTCATCCAAGAAGCTTCTTCAGTTCTAACTGGATGGTGGGGAAAGGGAGGATTTATACTCCTTGCAAACAGCTGGTCATTTGCATCCTTTTAGAGATACGTTGAGGCCATTTGGAGGCTTGTCTGATTTCCCTGAGGAAATCCTTCCATTCCTCACCATCCGGTCAGAGCTGAAAAAGCCGCTTGGATGAGAAGCGAAAATCTTCAACAACAACAAAAAAAGCACGCCAAACCCCAGAAAGTCCAGTTGCCTCTTGAAAAAAGCTCCTTTTGGGGACGTGACCTAGAGGATGGAGAATCTCCATAGACACTTCAGGTAGTCCTCGACTTACAATTGGGACCCGAATTAGTGCAGTCATTAGACAAGCCATCATAGGACTGGACCGATTTGTGCAACCAAAATTACACCACCATCGATTACCGTGTGCCCCTCTTCTACCCCCACTCGTTAATTTGCCAACCTCAAAATTTGGGAGGTTCCTGGGAGTTGAGGTCCACCTGTCTACAATTTGTCACGGTCGAAAAACATGGTTTTAATCTTAAGATCCACGGACTACCACCCCAGTCAAACAAGCATGACACAGGAGAAGCATCTATTGAGAGACGTGTTCTTTGGTGAGTCGGAAAACAAAAGCATTGCCCGCAGCCTCCATTGTTATCCCACTTAGGGGGCAGTAGGGCTACCAAAGCATTTCCAACCCTACATTTTTGGAGCAATGGGCCAAAGGAGCGTTGGCCAAAAGCCACCCAAGGAGAGGAGACCGTTGAGATTCCTAAGTCGCCTCAGCCTCAATCCTTGAAAGGCGAAACAAATGGGAGAGATGTGGACCGAGGGCAGCTTCTCATCTTGAATTACTCTAAAGAGGAAAATTGCTTGGTGTCCCTTATTACAAGAGGCAGCAAGCCCGAAAAAGAACCATCCCCTCAACGGAATTGAAATGCAAAGAGAGGCTCTCGTTGGCAGAGATGAACAACACGGTGCCGGGACGTAGAATCATTTCAGATCCAGCTGCCGTGGAAGTGCCGACGGCCGAACCCTGGACCGTCAGCAAGATGCTTGCCGAGTCGATGGCCGAAATGAGGTACAGCTTAAGGGAGGAAGGGATCTGTAAGAAAAAAGCAGAGGGGTTGCTCGACACGGGAAGTAAGAGAAAAGGAGAGTCTTCCTGCGTTTGGTGGAACAGGAAGCAGCTGAAAGCTGGAACAGGAAGAAACAAACTGAAACAGGAAGCAGCTG